TCAGCGGGGAGTCTGCTTCTCCCTCTGCCTGCCGCTCCCCCTGCTTGTGCTCTCTCTCTCTCTCTCTCCCCGCCAAATAAATAATTAAAATCTTAAAAAAAAAGTCATAAAATCTAAAACAAATCCAGTAAGGCCCCCTTAGAGATTGGCCTCATTCATAGACAATGGAGAGCAATGTGGTCCAAATGAGGTGATGAGCAGGAAGAACATTCTGGTTACAGCATACATGTTGGCTTGCAGGGACCAGTCTAGGTAGCTCAAGAAGAGAGGAACTTCTCATGGGGAAAGTGCTACAAGGGCTACAGAAACAAAAGCAGACGGAAGGAAGGTGCCAGAGATGAGAAAGCTGCCACAACCCTGTGCTGTACCCACATGCGCACACGGACTGCTGAGCGGTTGCAGGGAGCGGGGGGCACAGGCTCCCACTGCTGCTGTCTCTGGAGCCACCAAAACTACGGGGACTTGCACTCCACTGTGGCCTCTCCTGGAGACAGGCCCAGAAATGGCTTCTTGGCCTGCTAATGTCCCACCAGTGTCTCCTACTGGTGGGACTTAGGAAACCATCTGGCAAGAGCATTTGAGAAGTGTAGTTTCCAGGCTTCCTGCCTCTGCCACGCAGAGGAGCGCACAGAAAAGCAGGGGGAGATCGGAATGCCAATAGACCCAACCTAGCAAAAGAGGGGACCCAGGACAGTGTCCCCCGCCAGGATATGGCTCTCCCTGGAAGGAGGCCTGGATTCTAGAACTAGTTTTGTTACTGACCTGCTAGTCTCCTCCAAGGCAGTATAGCAGAGTGATTCCGGGCATAGGCTCAGTGTCCTCATTTGAAAGTGGGAAATCATAACCACCTCAGAAGATTTTGTAAACGTTAAATGGGTTACTGTAAAGGACTAAGAAGGTGCCTGCAACGTAGTAAGCATTCAACGAATGATAGCTATTGTCACTGTCACTATCTGATTTTAGTTTGCCATCTGTAAAGTTCTAAGAAGAGAGTTAAGTCATCTTTGCTGATTTCGCGCCAGCCAGAGGAAAGGGGAACTAATGGTTGCCCTCAATCTGAGCCTGGCACGGGCTGAAATTTGGAGATGCAGAGAAAAAATAATATCCCTGCCTCCAAGAGCTCACCGTTTGATAAGAGGACAGAGGAAAACCACTGATTCAAGGTAGAACGCGCTCAGTGATAAACTAGATACAAAGAAAGTTGGGTTTGGCAGCAGAGTGGAAAGATCTATAAGGACTCCACTTTAAATCCAAAATTATGTTCTGTGACCGTGGGCAGATCACTTAGTCATCCCTGCCTGTTCCCCAGCCGGTAAAAGCGGAGCTAGTAGGACCTGCCTCACAAAGCCGCCGTGGAAATCAGAGCTCCTCCTGTAGGAGCTGGCACAGAGATGCATTCACAAGTGAGCATTAGTAGGATTCCAGTGCTCCAGACAAACGTCCAGGACCCGAACTTAGACACGCAAACGGAAGGAGGAAAGGACGGCTGGAGGGCGGCCCCGCCCTCCAGGATCGCGTAATTACAGCGGCCGAAGTTAACAGAACCTGGGAGGCACCCACCCCAGGGGGCGCACGGGGCCTCGGCGTCTCTGTCGCCCGTGGCAACCGGCCGTCCTGGCGTCAGGCCTGAGAGGCACCGCGCAGGAGCAGCAAAATGGCCCTGAGCTCCTGGTCCCCAGAGCTGGGGTTTGGCGAGAAGGCGCTGCGGGAGGCAGCCGTCTCCGCCGGCCCCTCCCTGGAGCTGTGCACCTTCCCCTCCTCCCTGGGCTCCTCGGTGGCGACCGCGACGCTGGAGCAGCTCTTCGTTGTGGGTGAGAAGCCTGCGGGCGCCGGGAGGGAACGGCGCCTCGGAGGTGGCACCTAGCCGGCACCGGGCGGAGGGGCCCTCAGCCGGGACCTTCCTGCGGGAACCCGGGGTGTCCCAGGCTACGGCAGAGCCCTCTCAGGCTCCTTGGCGGGAGAGAGAGAGAGGCAGGAGCGGTGGGACCCAGGCCTCAGCTCTCCTGCTCTAGTGCGCCTGGAGTGACTTGGCCCAGCTCACACTAGCAACTGGTGACAAACTCCGGGCAAAGCATGGGCTCTCTCTCGGGCCACTGCCATTTGCCTGCGACTGGGATGCCCACCTGCATTTAGATTATGCCTTTAATTTCAGCTTCTCCCTTCTTTTCTTTGCAAGTTAACTTCCTCCAACATTTTGTCATGATAAAGTGGAGAATTCAACAGGCAAACAAGAAAGGGAGTGTTTAAGAAGCTCCTCTTGTATTAGACAAGGAAAATTAGACAAGGATGTTTAGGAGATGCAAACATAATAACCTTGGATGGGGTCAGGTTAAAATGCTTCTTCAGTTAGAAAGCTGAACCTGTAATTAAGACACCTAAGTTTAAGGTAGGATATGGTCCAGGAAAGGGCATTTCTTGTTTAGCTCATAAACCATTTAGGCCAAACAACAGAGCCTCTCCTTGCTTTACTATCAGCATCTCATGGCTTCAAGGTAATCGTATTGATTTGTTATAATGTTACTGTTAGTTTGGGATCGTTTCTTTTTTCTTCTTAGACGTACTAATTTAACTTCACAATTCCTGTGAGATAGGCTTTCATGAGTACCATCATGAAGAATGTTAACCACCAAAGAGACCTAAACAAGTCACTATCATTGGCCATGGTAGAGCTAGGGTCTTGAACTTTCTTCATACTTGATCAGCATGTGCATTTCAGCCCAGTACTTCGTGCAAATATTTTTCTGCTAATAATTTCTGGACTCTCAGGAAGTTTTTTGTAGGAAGAAACTTCATTAAGCCTCTTGTGGGAGTTAGAAAATATGCAGCCCTCCTGCCCATTTGCAAGTGGGAACAGCTTGTGCTCATCCACTCCATTAAGAAGGGGAAGGTGATAACAGGCAAGTCCTGTCCCTTTCTAACACCTGCTTGCTTGCAAACTCAGTAACTGACTTTCACTTGGTTTGAGGGCTTAGTTCATTAAGAGCATCTGAGTTCCCTGGAACTGAGGGCAGAAATTGTTCTTTACACTTCCGAGGGCTGAGTATGGCCATGAAGGCCAAGGACTCTGGAGTCACACCTGTGTTTGCACCTAGACTCTCTCAGTGATGGGCTCTCTGACCTTGAACATATGACATAACCTCAAAAGTCAGATTTCTCAGCTGTGAAATGGGAGTCATCACAAGATTATAGTAATCAACTTAGATAATGCATGTAAAGCGTTAATCTCATCAAACTTATCCCACACGTGAAGATGCGGGCCTGCAATTCACGTGGACAAAGTCCGGGTAACTCAGGGGTGCCAGAGCCAAGGTAAGTAGAGCCGTTCTCTCTCCTCCTTTTGTCCATTTTCCCCTTCTTTCCATTTGGTACGTATCCAGTCTTCATTACCATTGCCAACATTTCACAAGCCTCTCTTGTGTGCTTCCTACTTAACAGTGTGTAAGGGAAAGGAGAGACCCTTCATATGTCAATGAATGAAAAGGCCTTAGAAGCTCTGTCTACCTCACGCCTACCAGTTTTACAGATCTTTACTCTCATCCCAGGATTTATATATTGGCACAGAAGTAAAAATGACATAAGGGACTTTGAAACAGTTAAATAAATGAGTGGGTTTTTTGCAAAATATTATATTTACATGTACACAAATATAAATATATATACTATGAAAACATTCTCAAACCTACATTATAAGCATGTTATATTTATTCCTTTCATAAATATTTATTGAATTTTTTGTCCTATATAGATTCCTTCTTTCTCCCATGAGAGAGGCAAAGATGGAATATCAAGAGGAGTTTGTCCTCAAGAAGCATTAAATATGTACCTAAGTGAGAATACTATGAATTAGGAAATATGTTCAAAAGAGATTCATATTAAGTACTATAGGAATTCAGAGATAGAACATACAATTTTCAGCTGCGCAGGCATTTGAGCTAGATCTAAAGGGTTAAATGGGATTTGGACAAAAAAATAAGAGATCTTCATTTTTTTTTTTTTTTTTTAGAACAATCACTACAAAGTGACTATTTTAAATGCAACGAAGAAGCTAAGACCTTTCTTAAGGACATTGCTATCGCTGTTAAGAAATTGGTATTGTATTATCTATAAGAACTGTTTTATTTTTGGGCGCCTGGGTGGCTCAGATGGTTAAGCGTCTGCCTTCGGCTCAGGTCATGATCCCAGGGTCCTGGGATCGAGTCCCGCATCGGGCTCCCTGCTCCCTGGGAGCCCGCTTCTCTCTCTCTCTCTCTCTCTCTCCCTCTCTCTCTCCCTCTGTCTCTCATGAATAAATAAATAAAATATTAAAAAAAGAACTGTTTTATTTTTCAATCTTCCACTTATTTCTTCATCAATTTTTAATTTAGTACCAACTCTGTTCAAGATACTTGAATAGATGAATAGGGAAAATATTTACCCTGAGGGAAGAAAATGTTTATCTCAATTCACTAAGCGTGTGCCCCAGTGTCCAGAACTGTGGGGTGCTGCCTGCTTTTCCACAGGGACCCTGCATTAAGGACCTGTGCTATGGACGAGGGAGGGCAAGCCCGCTTAGGAGAGCAGAACTGCTGCTAGCGGAGCTCCATGAAGGGGTGGGCCACATGGGCAAATGCTTGCCCCCAGTATAGAAGCCATGTGTCGTGCCTATTCACTCAGTTCTCTGTAAGTAATTTCTTACATAACTGCTGAGAGATGATCTGGCGCCTCTTTTCACTGAAGTAGACCATGCTCGTCAGTGAAAACCAACTCTTTGTTCTGCTCACTGGGCCCCATCAAGGAAATATTTAAAGAATTTCCTATTGAAGTGTCACCCATATGTCTCTACGTGGCCCTGGATGATGTTTACAGTGCTTCCCCCCAGTGGGGTCAGAAGGGTGAGGTCTCTTCATCTGATTTAAAAATATTTAAGAATCGGGCACCTGGGTGGCTCAGATGGTTAAGCGTCTGCCTTCGGCTCAGGTCATGATCCCAGGATCCTGGAATTGAGTCCTGCATCAGGCTCCCTGCTAGGCGGGGAGCCTGCTTCTCCCTCTGCCTCTGCCTCTCTCTCTCTCTGACTTTCATGAATAAATAAATATTTAAAAAAATAAAAATAAAAATATTGAAGAATCTACATATCAAATATCTAAAAATGTAGAAATGTGGCTATAAAGTCAATGAGTTTGAGTCTACAGACTGCTGAGAAAAGTTCATCTCTTGATATTTTTCTGTGATTATATATAGATGCATATGTACTACAGCATTAGACTTTATAATCCCAGTTAAATGAATACATGTGTGTAAAGCTTGGGAGTTGGTGTGTGTGTGTGTGGTGCCCCACCGTGGTATCGTGGAAACCTTCCTCTGCTTTGTTCTTTGAGTTATATTTTCCTCCTGGGTTTGAAGGGGTCAGAATATTTAGTGTGGCTTATTAAAGTGTCTACTATATCTCCATGTAATATCTGAGCTGTGAAATCTGTTAGAGATAAATCCCTCCATCTTATAAAGCAACAAATTTTCACTATTCTGGAAGCACTGCATGTTTACCCTGGAAAAAAAACTTTTTAAATAGACACGTAAAAGGAGGAAAGTAAAAACCATGATCCCAGCACCCTAAAATAATCATAATCAACTCTTTGATGAATGTCTTTCCTGCTTCCAGGGAATAGACAATGCCTGTATTGAATTTTATATTTTTATAGAAAAGTGATCATGCTATATATACAATTATGTAATCTTTTTTTTAGATTTTTTTTATTATGTTATGTTAATCACCATACATTACGTCATTAGTTTTTGATGTAGTGTTCCATGATTCATTGTTTGAGTATAACACCCAGTGCTCCATGCAGTACGTGCCCTCTTTATTTTTTTTTTTTTAAAGATTTTATTTATTTATTTGAGAGAAAGAATGAGAGAGAGAGAGCACATGAGAGGCGGGAAGGTCAGAGGGAGAAGCAGACTCCCTGCTGAGCAGGGAGCCTGATGCGGCACTCGATCCCGGGACTCCAGGATCATGACCTGAGCCGAAGGCAGTCGCTTAACCAACTGAGCCACCCAGGTGCCCCGGTACGTGCCCTCTTTAATACCCATCACCAGGCTAACCCATCCTCCCACCCCCCTCCCCTCTAGAACCCTCAGTTTGTTTCTCAGAGTCCATAGTCTCTCATGGTTCTTCTCCCCCTCCGATTTCCCCCCTTCGTTCTTCCCCTCCTGCTATCTTCTTCTTCTTCTTCTTCTTTTTTTAAATATAATGTATTATTTGTTTCAAAGGTACAGGTCTGTGATTAAACAGTCTTACACAATTCACAGCACTCACCATAGCACATACCCTACTGACTGTCTATCACCCAGCCACCCCATCCCTCCCAGCCCCCACCACTCCAGCAACCCTCAGTTTGTTTCCTGAGATTAAGAATTCCTCATATCAGTGAGGTCATATGATACATGTCTTTCTCTGATTGACTTATTTCACTCAGCATAATACCCTCCAGTTCCATCCACATCGTCGCAAATGGCAAGATCTCATTCCTTTTGATGGCTGCATAATATTCCATTATATATATATATACCACATCTTTATCCGTTCATCTGTCGATGGACGTTTTGACTCTTTCCACAGTTTGGCTATTGTGGACATTGCTGCTATAAACATCGGGGTGCACGTACCCCTTCAGATCCCTACATTTATATCTTTGGGGTAAATACCCAGTAGTGCAATTGCTGGATTGTATGGTAGCTCTATTTTCAACTTTTTGAGGAACCTCCATACTGTTTTCCAGAGTGGCTGCATGTAATCTTTTTTTTACTTATAAAATACAATGTCAATTTCTCCGGTCATAAAAGAACTATAGCCATTACGACCATTTATTTAAGAGATGATTTATCTATTTTTTCCACTAACAGATTTTTGGATGCTTTTCTTTTTTTAAAATAAGCCCCACCAAAAAAACAAAGCACAAAAATCCCCACCAGACTATTTGTTTGGATTTGTGGGTATGTATAAAAAAAAGTATTGTTCCCTTTATACCTAAGCATATTTTTATAGGCACTTTCCAGCTTTTAATTAAGCAGCTTTTTTCTCAGCATTACCCTTTTTGTTGGAGTCTCTCCTTTTAAATTGATTGGAACTGCATACAAAAAACATAAGAAAAGATGATTTCTGAGAAGAAAATCAGCAGAGATTAAGAGATAAATTAACAATGACTTATCTTAAAAACTGATTATAGAAGAGTGATTTTTCACACCTTCTAGTTCAAATAAGAAGAGTGATTTTTCACACTTTCTATTCCAAATAAAAATAAGAGCAGAGGGGGTTGAATGGAAATCAGTTTGATCTCTGAAAATATTTATAATAGGGCATTGCTTAGGAAATCAATTTTATTAGTTTAATGCCTTAACTTTTTATATATGTAATTCAAATTTTCAGGAAGAAATGAGAAAAGCCACAGTTGATCTCCTAGAAATTGAAAGCATGGAACTCAGCAGACTATATTTTCTACTGGAAACTCTTCCCAGTAGCATTGGCAGAGAATTAAAAGGTACTTTTAAGGTTATCAACCATAGAAACTTAGTTTATCTTATAAGAAAATAGAGCCTACTACTTGTAACAAGACAAGTTTAATAGTTGGGTCATGTCAAAATATAGCTGGAAAGAGTACACGGCACAAACCCAGATCCATAATAATGTTCTCTTACATTTTAAGTGGAAATGATATATATAAAACTTGAATTTATGTAGTTTAGTTTCTAAATAGACTAATGATATGTAGATCAGCCCATTCCAAATTGGTATTTATCCAATTAAATTAGGCATTTTGACTCACCTAAACCACCATTCTACTTTTTCTCCCTGTAGGTTTGGGGATTATAGGTACCTCATATAAGTGAAATCATAAAATACTTGTCCTTTTGTGACTGGCTAATGTCACTTGGCAGGTCTTCAAGATTCATCCATGTTGTAGCTTGTGTCAGAATTTTCCTTCATTTTAAGGCCAAACAATATTCCATTGTATGTGTATACCGTGTTTTGTGTATCTATTCATCCACTGATGGACCCTTGGGTTGTTTCCACCCTTTACCTATTGTGAACAAAGTTGTTATAAACATGGTGGTGCAAATATCTCTCTGAGTCCCTGCTTCCCATCCTTTTGGGCTTATATGCAGAAGGGAATTGCTGGATTGTATGGTAATATGGTACTTTTACTTTAAGTTTTGAGAAACTGCCATACTGTTTTCCATAGTGGCTGAAGTATTTTACATTCCCACCCACGATGTACAAGGATCCCAATTTCTTCACATTCTTGTCAACATTTGTTCTCTTCTGTTCTTTTTGGCTTTTTAGATATAGCCATTCCAATGCGTGTGAATTGGTATCATGGTTTTGATTTGCATTTCCCTAATGACTAGTGATGTTGGGCATTTTTTCGTGTGCTTATTGGTAATCGGCTTATCTTCTTTGGAGAAATATCTATTCAGGTCCTTTGTTCATCTTTTAACTAGGTTGTTTGGTTGTTATTGAGTAGTGGGAATTCCTCATAGAGTCTGGATGTTAACCCTTTATCAGATACATGATTTGCAAATATTTTGACCCGTTCCATGGTTTGCCTTTTCACTCTGTTGATACTGACTTTTGATGCACAAAAGTTTTAAATTTTTAAAAAGGTTTTATTTATTCATTTGAGAGAGAGAGAGGGAGAGTGAGAGAGCAAGCACCGAAGGAGAAACAGACTCCCCGCTGAGCAGAGAGTCCAAAGTGGGGCTTGATCCCAGGACCCCAAGATCATGACCTGAGCCAAAGGCAGATGCTTAACCAACTGAGCCACCCATCCGCCCCCAAAAGTTTTAAATTTTGATGTAGTCCAGTTTATCTATATTTTCTTTTGTTACCTATGCTTTTGGTGTCCTATCCATTGGTAAGTCCAGTGTCTTGAAGATTTCCTCTTATGTTTTCTTCTAAGAGTTTTAAAATTTTAGGTCTGACATTTAGGTTTTTGACTCCTTTTTGGTTAAATTTGGTATTTGGTGTAAGGTAAGCATTCAGTTTCATTTCCTCAGCTGCCAGGAGTATTGGCTGAGGCTCACAGCTCAGGTCCTCTACAGGAATTGCCCTAGACAAGAGCAACGCTGACACTGCCCCTTGCCCCATCCTGGTCCATCGTCTCCTCAGGTGTGGCCCATGTTCAGGGAGAAGTCACTGTGAGAATACAAAGGCCCGCCTCCCCTGCTTAAGAACAGCTCTCAAGTGTCCTCACAGCTCCAAAGCTCATTGCCCTTTAACCTCCCCCTCCCCCACCCAGTGGTCTAAATTAAAAACAAACAAACAAAAGCAACAGCAACAAAACACTTTTTAAGTCGATGTTCCAGTTATCCATTTATTGCCTTGCAGCTCCAAATCTACCTTCCTTGCCTGTTCCATGTTGAGAGAGCTGGGCCCTGTCATTTCCCCCTTTACCAGCTGGCACAAGGTTAAGTTTTGTCAAGAGAGGGCACTGGAAGGATACTGGAGGGAAGAGAGAAGAGGGTACTCTCTCTGGCCCCAGGGTGCTCAGCTTGGCCAGCTCTTGCGGTGCACACAGCTGTTCCACGTCAGCGCCCCTGCAGAGCCCCGCCCCGCAGAGCCCCCCCCCGCCCCGTGAAGCTCCCCCCTACCCCGCAGAGCCCCCCCAACCCCGCCCGCAGAGCCCGGCAGCTCCCTCCAGTACCCCTGGGGCGGCTGCATGGTGGATTGCTACCAGTGAGGCACCAGCTTGGGAACAGATTTCCTGGCAACTCCCTGTGGACGGCCCATCAATTCCCCCAGAAGCCAGATTTCCATGAGTTCTACCAGCCCAGCATCTCATGAATTTCTTTGCCATCCAGTGAGCCACAGCTCTTTCCAGTGAGGCCTGGATGTCAGGTGTGGAGGTCCTGCTTCCTCAGACAAACTCTGTCTAAGCCCTAGGGGTACTGGCTCCCCCTTACACTTGCTGCTCCCCAAGCCTTTAGAGTTCTGTTCTCTCTTTTGCTATCCAATCCCTCAGTACTCTAGTCCTGTTAGGCTTACTAATTCCCTATATTACAATTTCCCTATTCAATTTGTAAGATTTCTATCTCCTAATTAGACACTGAGTGATACAGTTAGTTATAAAACAATATGCATGGTGTTAGTGTGTCAGGGAAAATACAATAAACTCTATATACAGAAAAAAAACAAGACTTAGAAGTATCTGGGCTGAAGGCAGAATTAAGACTATATTGGCTTACTTTTATAATCAGGAAAAATATTTAGAAGGAAAAGAAAAGAGCATACTAGCTAAAGAGGTTCTTGATACCCACATAAATGTAATTAGTCTTACGTTATAAAACTTTGCTACTCAAAGTATGGTTCATGGGTCAGCAGCATCAGCAGCATCTGAAGGCTTGTTATAAAATGCAGAGTCTCTAGGCCCACCCCAGAACTACTGTATCAGAATCTGTATTTTGGGGTGTCTGGGTGGCTCAGTCAGTTAAGCATCCAACTCTTGGTTTTGGCTCAGGTCATGATCTCAGGGTCCTGGGTTCAAGCCCCATGTCGGGCTCCATGTGGAGTTTGCTTGTCCCTCCCCTTCTGCTCCTGCCCTCGCTCATGCGCACTCTCGTACTCCCTCTCTAAAAATAGATAAATAAAATCTTGAAAAGGATCTGTATATATATGTATACATATGTGCATATTTGAAACATAAAAGTTTGGGAAGCGCTGCTACAATGAACAAACTTAGCAAGTAGCCTCGGAAAAATAACTCTCTCAAATGGAGCTACCAGCCAGTTTCTAGAGAATTTATTGTGTAGAAATGGGTAGTCCAGTACCTTCTAACTATCAGTATTAAAAAAATCATTTTTGCATCTATCATGTGCTGAGGTAAACCTCTGAAGTCTTATGTGATCACACGGATGTGTTATTTGTTGATGAATAATTAGTTCTTTAACACACTGAGTTCCCCAGAAAGCAGAGCCAGAGGCTTTTGCACTATTAGTTGGGAGCACAACCCAAGGAGGAGGAGGAGGGCAGGATAAGAAGGCAAAAGCAGGGAGAAGGGAGAGCGGATCTGGGGTGCAACCTGATACTGACTGCCGCTAAATGCAACACATTAAGCCTGGGAACATGCCCCCAAGACACACCGTTCCACCTTCTCCTGGACCATCCCGGCACCAGCTCCTGCCCGTCATGGGTCCGATGTTTGCCTGCTTCCCACACTTTGGGTTACATGTGCATGGGTGTGCATGTTTAAAGAAGTCCCATGGGTATAGGTGACAAGGAGGTCCTGGACAGAAGGTGAGAAGTGGGTAGAATAAGCAGGAACGAGGTGCTGCCAGACCGCCCCAGTGTGAAGTCATTGAGAGCCCATGGAAAGCTGGTCACCATAGCAGCAGCTGAAGTGAGGGGAATAATTGATGGGTAAGACAGAGAGGACCCAAAGGGGTAAGAGACATCTGCTACAGGGACATAATTAAAAGAGTATTTCAAAGAAAGACCTAATTTTTTCATGATTTGGAAAGTCAGTATCAAGTGTGCCATTTCTCAAATAATCTAGCAACATTTCCACTTACTTTTAAGAATGTGTCAGAGATGCACGCAGATTAAATCTTTTTGAGATAAATCAAATACAGACGGACATTACAAGGATGAATGATGCAATACAGTCTCTGAAGATGAGAATACTTGATCTGAAAAGAATTAATGAAGCTCTAGGGTATGTATTGTTTTTTAAATTCAGTACTTGCGGGAGTTGGGGTCTGTGGCTGGAGTGTGAAAATTGTCCTAAGGGGTCTGTCCTCTGGTCTGTGCTGGTGTGGGTGGATATCATCTGGAGCAGATGACCTTGGCTGAGGAGGGGTATATGATGGCCTCACAGAGCTGGGGAGGAGAACAAAAAATCTTCAACCACTGCAGTCAGGGGACCTGTCAAGTTTCAGAGACCAAAGAGCTTCCCAGCAGCACCTACTGTGTGTGACTCATGCGCCACTTCCAAAGGTAGAGACGCACATTGGTTTCAGACTCCCCTTTAGTAAAATTAAGTTTACAAACCTCAACCACTAAAGCAAAAAAATTGGCTGGATATTGTATTATAAATATAGTACATTGTAGCTAGTTTAGTTTCTTAAAGGTATTCAGCCATAAACTACGGGAGGTCTGAGGGATGGGATTGGTTCCCAGCAGAGAATTAATTATAGATTTCATTTGTAATTAAATGAGATGATATATATAACTGCCTGTAGCTCAGATCTGACACCTGTTAGTTTCTTTCCTTTATCCCTGAGCTGTGTTGCCAGGACTTCACCCCATGGGCCTCCTTTTCTCCACCTGTAAAATGGGGATTACAAGTTTGAATTTATGCATCCCATGGAGGAAAAGATACATTCTGAAACAAAACCTTAGGAACAGCTCAGCATTGTGAGCAAATACGTAAGACTAATGCATAAATATGAGAATGTCAGTTTGTCAGAGGAAGAAATGTTGAAAGAGTCCCCATGAAAGAAAAAAAATCTTCTTGGGAAGCTAAAGTGATCAGAAGGTTGCTTGGTGCACATAATATCAAAGCATCAGGAATTAGGTGGAGGGGCGCCTGGGTGGCTCAGTCGTTGAGCGTCTGCCTTCGGCTCAGGTCATAATCCCAGGGTCCTAGGATCGAGCCCCGCATCAGGCTCCCTGCTTGGCAGGAGGCCTGCATCTCCCTCTCCCACTCCCCCTGCTTGTGTTCCTGCTCTTGCTATCTCTCTCTATCAAATAAATAAATAAAATCCTTAAAAAAAAAAAAAAAAGGAATGAGGTGGAGACCTCGAGGCCTAGGGACGACTTTCCTCAATTAGGCCCTCAGAACACCTGTTCTGGGGGATGCTCCATGAAAAAGAAAGTTCATGATCATATAAGCTTGAGAATTCTAACCCCTCTTAGGGGTTCACAATGTGGATTTGCTGGCCACAGTCACCAGAGACTGCTGTATCAACTATATTATCGATTCCTAAACTACTAACGAGGAAGATAATATCCAGGCTGGAGTACTCAGGTCCATTGGCCAGCACCATCACACCTCTACAGACCAGTGATTTTCAAACTTGAGGATGCATCAGAATCCCTTGGAGTGCTTATTAAAACAAATTACTAGAAAGCTCTGCAGCACCCCAAATTTCTGATTTAGTAGGTGTGGGGGATGGGAGTGAGAATTTGCATTTCTAACGAGCTGCCCGGTGATGCTAATGGGGCTGGTCCTGACCACACGTTCAGAATCCCTGCTCTAGAGAAATCTTTATGGAAGGGCAAATGACAAACATAAGGTGGGTTGCTTGATGAGCTAGCATCACCAAGCTAGGTGATGGGGAAGCTATCACCAAGCTACAATCTCATTGCCTCCATTTTTCAAAGAAAGATGTACATCAAGATGCCAACACTCTCTGACAGGTGGTCCTCTCCTGGACAGTCCCCCAAAATGGCAAGCTCTTTGGGTGGGTTTTCCTTAGGTCTTGTGTTTGATTTCTGAGTTCTCTCTTCTCAACCCACCTCAATACACCTAGTTGGTTTTTTGTGTTTTGTTTTGTTTTGTTTTTTTGACTTGTTTTACTTAGTTCCACTTAGGCTACTCAATCCTTAGGTTGACTCATTCTTAGAAGGCTTCCTCTACTAGACCCACAAAGCACCCATTATCTGACCCTCTCTAGCCTGGGCTTTTAACTGCATTTCTGTGGTAGAGTTGACTTCTGGAAAATAAACTTACCAACAACCTGTTTCCATTTTCCTGAGCCTTTGCACACAATCCCCTTGAACAACTGAAGTCTTTGGCACTGCGGATTCGAGAAAGGAAAAAGGTCTTCACATTGTAGAAGCTTTTAAAAAAAGGAAAATCTAGAAATGGCGCCAACTGTCCCTCCTTCCAGTCTTGGCGTTGTTAGCCCTGGGGTAGATATTTCTCACCGTCTTAAGGTCTTCTTCAGATGGATGTGGCCAGCCATGGATAGGTGAAGTTAATGTCTCCTCTTGAACTCAGATTTGGCAGCAGGTAGGAGAGGATAAGAGAGTTCAAGTTAGGTTTCAAGCATCTTCTGAACAGTGAAGACAGACTCTGCTCTCTCCTCCCTGACTCTTGTCCATCAGAGGAAGGCTTGCTTTCTCCTGGGTCCTCCCTGCAGGGCACTGGCTTCAGAAGGTGGCTGGAGGGATGGTAAGATATTTATCTTCCTTTGGCTTGATTGCATGTCTCAGGATAAGATAGTATGGCAATGCTACCTATCAAACCATTTGGTCAGATTCCATTCATCTCAAAACTGCATACCTTAAACCAAAACATCCCATAGTTACTACCAGGAACCGGCTGGGTGGGGCGAGGTAGGACCCCATGACGTTTGTGCAGCAGTAAACAGGTGCAAGACTGACATTTGTCTTGTGTTTCCTTCTGTCCTCATCTCAACCAAGTTTAAGTGGCCACAGATACAACTCTAAGTATTCCTTATAATTTCCCTCTGTGTGGTGTTCATCTCGGCAAACAGACTTTAAGTTCCTTTCCTAAAAACCATACTTTTCATTCCATGAACCATTCTTTTCTCCTAGTGAAGAGCAAGAGAAGCTGGCGAGGGAGCAGGAAAAGTTAGTGACGGCACTCAACCACGCAATGGGAGAAAAAGCCGCCACCACGGTTTACAGCCACGAGACTTACACCAAAATCACCTCAGAGAGAAAAGAAATAGAATTGCAAAAACGACATCTCAAAGAAATAGAGGAACAATTGGAAAAAGAAAAAGAGGACTATTTGAAAAGAAAACAAAAGCTGAATGAAGAGGTAAGTGGCACGATTTACTGTTTTAAAAATTACAGAATCGTGTGGAGTCCCAGGCAGGAAATTCGCAAGGCTAGCAAGCGTCCTGTGCGGTATTTCCTGTGCGCAGTGATGCAGAGATGCAAGCACCCTGCAGACACTTGGGGTAAACACTAATTGTGTCATAGCGTCTGAGGTCATGGGAAAGAATATGAGTGACGGGATTTGTCACACTGGGGTAGCCCCTTGCTCATAGGCAGTCCTACAGGGACAAGGATCTTGTTTTCGTGGCATCTTGTTGCCTCTGACCATTCTGACCATGGACAAGACCAGGGAGATCCCTGCTGCCAGAGCCTCCAGCTCCTGCTGAATGCATCCGAGCAGAGCAGCCTGCAGAAGGGCTAGGCGGAGCCACGAGCTGCAACAGAAAAGAGTATTTTGAGACTAGCGATTCTGGGAGAGTAGATGGGAATGACTATCACCTCTTGGTGTCTGCTGGGCTATATTAATTAAAATTCACCATCAGAGTGGCTCGTGACGGTTCCTCTTTGCTGTGCTTCTGTTACCCCAGGAGAGGCAGGGCTCTCTCCAGGGGAGGTGTTCCCAGCAGTCTTCCTTCTCCCCCATGTGTGGCAGCCTGGCTCATGATGAGAATTGCTGTCGGGTCCCTGCTACTGCCCTCCCCGTGGTGGGCACGGGCGTGACTGTCACGCAGAAAATTGGCTGGGGCTCGCAACCCGTGTAGCACCCACTAAAGTTCCCTGAAGGCACATGATAGGCTGGGGTAACAGCCTGTTAATTTCCTTTACTTCCTATGAGAAAGGAAAAACTATTACAGCTGTCAGTCTTCAAACTGTAATCTCTCCCCTAACACCAAACAAAATATTTTTTGCTAATATTATGTCTATGACCACAAGACCTCGGGAGAAGTCTTTGGCTGAAGAATGAACACAGAATTCTGATTTTCAACAAAATGGATTAATCCCAAAGTTCCATTCCTATGCAACGGTGCTCTGGTGCTGAGATAATTGACCATGATCATGTTCATTCATAAGACACATCGGGTGCAATGGCTTTGACAGAAAGCCACCCAAATGTATGTTTTCATAACTCTTTAGTACAGAATTGAATATGCTTTCTCAGGCCTTATTACTCCGTTAGTCACCTTGTTCTTGATCATTCATTTTGCCAGACAGATGCATTGATGTGTTTGATTTTGATAAGAGGATGACTCACTCCGTTGGGTCTGACAAGTAATCAAAATATGTTTGATCTTGGTAGAATGGTAAGAAGTTGTCCAAGATTGTGGGCTGTCCAGTCTTCAGTGACTTTTTACCCTGTTTTTAGTCTGCTTTCTTTCCCATCAAAAAAATGTGAATTTAGATTTTCAGATCATTCGTCATTTTTTTCTTTGACTTTCCTGATCTTATTATTATTAGCACACTGTAAATCTGGTGGCCATTGCTATGGTGTTTTACTAGTAAATTACTACAATGGCAGTTGCTTTTAGAATTTGCTATTAATGATCATTGTTTTATTGCTCTTATAAATTTACTATTTCAACATTTATAGTTACAATTTATTCCTTGTAGTTCACTATTTTTCTTGTGATGTTGCAAAACAAATGCTGTTTGGGGGGGCTGTTTTTGTTGTTGTTGTTGATAGACCCACCATGGTATACTTAGTATGAAGTAGATTAACAAAATAAAAAGATTTCCTAAACTTCGTTGTTCTCATAAGTTTTTTGATTGGTTTATCATGTTTATCATTACAGATTGAGAGATGTAAAAACTTCTGTGAATTTAAGAGAACGGAGACTTATAAAAAGAAGAAAGAATTGGATACATTAAAACTTAAAGTGTCAAAAATGAAAGAAACAGTTACGACCAGCACAGTGGTAAGAATGAATAAACAAATAAAGGATGTGTTTGAGGTTTAGATCCTTTAGACGTGCTCATGTTGCTGGCAGGTCTAGGATTTCAGACCGTTGTTGACTCTGAAACTAGTTATGACCCAGAAGTGGAGCCATGTGGGTGCTTTCGAGGAAGAAATAGCTTGGGGGGGAGCTTTTGGTCACCTGTCTCACCTGGTAAGAATGGGAGCCCCTCTGTGCTCCCGGCAGGTGTTGTCCACACTGATGTGCACGGTTAGATGGCATTGCACAATCTGCCTGTGATCACTCCATGCTGGGGAGCTGAGGAATTTGTCTGATCAGCTCTCTCTCCCCTCCATTCTCCCCCACAGCTGAAATGCAGACCCAAGGCTCTATAAATGTTTGCCTCCCTTTTCTTTCTTTTTTTTTTTTAAGTAGGCTCCATGCTGGGCATGGAGCCCAACACAGGGCTTGAACTCACGACCCTGAGATCAAGACCTGAGCTGAGATCAAGAGTCAGACACTTAACTGACTGGGCCACCTAGGCACCCCTACCTTCCCTTTTCTTTATTCCAAAACTGCATTGTAAAATGTGTTTTATTATGAATTTTCTCCAATCATACTTCATTCTTTTAAATAATGCTGACATTTTATCACAATACCCAACTATTGCATTTCTGAAATACTGATTAAATAAGAAAAATTCTCTTCAATAGAAGCATATTTCTCAAGGTAATTTGTTTTTACTTTTTTGGTAATACTTGTTCTAATATCCTAGAATATTCTGAAGATGATTATGAAGATATAGATTTGTTTGGATTTTTTTAAAAGGTAGTCAAAATGAATTCCTATCTTGAAAGTTGTTTTTATAGTTTTCACATTCTCGCTGCTATATTTGGTTGGGCTCTCTCCAAAATGTTGGTTTTTTTCCTGATGATTTCAGGATTATTTCTGCCCAGGTTTGTTTTATGAAGAAACCGTTTTAATGATTGCTTTTTATTTTTGCTAAAGGATAACTCCAGTGTAAAAGTTGAGTGGATAATACATGAATATTTAGGGAGTCAAACGCTGTCATGAGTCATTTGGTGACAATTGAATGCCATCATTTTATTGAATTTTCAATAGGTTCTTAGTGATCACAATTTAGAGATATCACGACTCCAAGAATCAATAAGACATTGGGAACAAGAGCTCGAAGAAATGAAGAAATCCTGTAAGATACTGGAGGATAAAATGTAAGTTTGGTATTTATTTTTATTGAAGCATTTCTAGATGTTCTGTTTCTTTCATTTTTTTAAAAAAAAAATTCTTTAATATTAGATGAAAACTATATTCTCTTAATTTACTAAAATTTGTGATAGCTTTATAAAACCATCTCTTCATTTGGAAATTAACCAGTTTTTCAGATAAATAAGAGAAAAAATTGAGGATGATATAGTCATTTAAGGAAAAGGGAGGGACTCTCTGGAATGAGTTATTCTCACTTCAGTTCCTGATTCCCTACAAACAAATATGCCCCCAGGGGAAGGCATTAGTGGGACCTCCTATAAGGCTCACCTACCCTTGCTATGACAGTTGTTCTTAGTCAACCTACAGAACTTACTGAGAAAACACAAGGAAGTTTCAGGGCAAAAATTTTACCCATGGGACTGGAACCATAAACTTGAGGAAATCTGTCCACCCCCAGGCAAACAGTCTCTGCTTCCCTTTGGGGTCCATGTTTCATTCTGTCTTTATCTATATACAATGTTCTGTCATTGGTAAGCCCATGGCTAAGCATGGCCATTCGAAACCCTCTGAGTTTACCTGTTGCAGGTCCATCTATCTTTGGAGATTGACCCACAGACTTCTCCCAGGAGAATTCCCAGATTTCTCATCAGAAGGTGTTTGGCCCAGCTCTGACAAGGAAGGTGGGGTCTTATAGTACAAAATATGGCTTCCAGACCTATCCCCAGGTTTTTCTGACAGTTTAAAAGACAAATTTTGGACTTGAGTAGATTCCCCAAAAGGCAAGTAATTTTACATGTGGAACCTTGTTATAACATGGCTTATTCCTGCATAGGATCAAATATATTGTAATTAAAATTATATCTTCTAAAACAGCAATTGCACAAAACATGGCTGTCCTACCAATATCTGGCCATAAAATAAGCACTAATCTTTACACTCAGTACCAGATTTATAAGTATAAAAGCTCAAGTAATACTACAATTAAAACTCAGAATTAAAAAAATCTCTTTCTTTAGGGTGCCTGGGTGGCTCAGTTGGTTAAGCGACTGCCTTCGGCTCAGGTCATGATCCTGGAGTCCCAGGATCGAGTCCCACATCGGGCTCCCTGCTGAGCAGGGAGTCTGCTTCTCCCTCTGACCCTCTTCCCTCTCGTGCTCTGTGTCTCTCATTTTCTCTCTCTCATATAAATAAATAAAATCTTAAAAAAAAAATCTCTTTGAAAGTGATTCACTAGTTTTAGTTCATACATATTTTAAAGAAAAACTAGCAAATAGTCATGGAGGAAGATACAGATTAGCTCTTAACTTATTTCTAGGAGTTATGATTAAAAATCTTGCTTGAAATTTTATTTATAAGCAGTCTTCATGTTAGCTAATTTGCTTTAAATATATTCAAGAAAGAAATAGGGATTGATTGATCTATTTTTTTTAAGATTTCATTTATTTGAGAGAGAGAGAGAGAGAGGGAGGGAGCACAGGCAGGGGGAGCAGCAGAGGGAGAGGGAGAAGCAGACTCCCTGCTCAGCAGGGACCCCGACATGGGGCTTGATCCGAGGACTCATGACCTGATCATAACCTGAGCCAAAGGCAGACACTCAGCTGACGGAGCCACCCAGCCACCCCTCACTGATCTATTTTTAATGGCACATCATTTTTTTTTCAATTCCAGCTTGTCAAGAGTTTTCATTCATATGGAATTTCCCTGAGGAGAAGTACACTTGATTAATTTGGTGATTGAAGTTTTAGGTTACCCCCCTTGTTATTAATAAAACTGTACTTTTTCCTCTTTACTACCAAGCAAATTAAAAGAAAATTCTTACATTCATTTTATATTTCTCCTTTAGTTCATTTTCTCTATCTATGGAGGTGGGAAAAGGCACCTAAATTTTGGTTGATAGATTTGGAGAGTCAAACAGTGTTGTTTTATAATAGTCTGTAAGATTCTTTTAAGAGTAAATTATACAAGAAACTAAAATAATTTGCATAAGATCATCTTCCTATTAATCTATAAGCTTTAATTTTTTCCCCCATGAAATCTTTAATTTGCAAGCTTGTTACATATTTTGAGGTCCAAATATTAAGGAAAAACAAAAGTCACTCAACCATCTGTATGTGGACAGTTAAGAGTACCTCAAATGTTCCACAAATCCATAGGAGGCATTGATAGTCTAAACCTCGTTCATTATTATTATTGATGTCCAACATGATGTGTTTGCATAATAAAGGCAAATTCAGTGCCTACCTTTCTAAATGGATATGGTCTTTCTTTGCCAGTCAGCTGGTTTTCAGCACATAGGAAGTGGGGGACTGGAAGCTAAGTATTGTATATAAATGACATGCAGTCTGTGACCCAGAGTATATACTTGCCATTGCAGTGCAGGAGGCTATGAAAAATATAGATATTTTTTTTTATAAGGATTGAAATGATTTCAGAATTGTCGTGATTGCCAATGATTCCATCCTGCCAAACTTTAAAGATCTAGTCTATTCCTTAAAGTTCTTGAATTCCTAATGGAATTTGACACACTTCCACCTTCTTTTTTAAAGATTTTATTTATTTACTTGAGAGTGAAAGAGAGTACAGAGGGAGAGGGAGAAGCAGACTCTCCACTGAGCAGGGAGCCTGATGTGGGGCTCCATCCCAGGACCCTGGGATCACAACCTAAGCCAAAGGCAGACGCTTAACCAACTGAGCCACCCAGGTGCCCCACACTTCCACCTTCTTGAAATACTTTCTCTCATGGCCTTCCAAACATCATATTCCCTTATGTCACTCACTACACTGCTCTTTCTCAGGACCCTTTATTTGTTCTTATTCTTCTTTCTGAGTCTGAATTTTGGAGTTCTCGGCCCTTCTCTATTCACATCCTCCATATGTGATTTCATCCAGTCTTATGGCTTTATATATCTTCTGTACCCCAGTGACTCCCAAATTTATATATCCAGCACTGAGTAGTAAATACATAGACTCTACAGTTTATTTGACCTCTCCATTTGGAGGATATCTGTTAGATATCTCAAATATGATGTGTCCTGAACAGAACTCTTAATTTCCCACCTCACTGAAACAGCTCTTCCCTCAGTCTTCCATCTCACCATTTACCTAGTTACTCCAGCTGAAAACCTAGGAGTCATCTACCATTCCTGTTTTCCTCACTTCCTAACCCTAACCCAACTAACCAACTAACTAGCCCTAACTCAACTCAAACGCCAGCCAAATCCCAAGGTATGTCTTGTTGCCTTTATCTTCAGAATATATCCTGAATCCAACTATTTCTTACTACCTCCTCCACTACAACATTAGTCTGAGCCACCATTCTCTCTTCTGGACCATTGCCCGAGTCTTCTGCGTAGTCTGTCTTCCTGTATTCTTGTCTTTCTCCACTAAGTAGCAAGAGTCATCTTTTCAAGATGTAACTCAGTTCATGTCTCTCCTGTACTTAAAAAAAAATCCTCCCCTGGTTCTCTCTGAACTTCCACTTTGTCCTTAGCCCCTACATGATCTAGTCTCCATCTACCTCTCCAGCCTTCTCATAATCCTCTCCTCATCAAATACACAAAACTTGTTCCGGCCCCAGAATATTTATCACTGGCTGTACCTTGTACATGAAAAACTTTTCTTCAGATCTTCACCTATCTGGCCCCTTCTCATCATTCAGGTTCTTCACAAGTCATCTCACGAGGCCTTCCCTTACCACCTGTCTGAGGTAGCATCATCACTCTCACGATTTCTCTGTCCTTCACCCTACTTTGTGTTCTTTAAAGCACTTAGCACTACCTGAAATTTATTATTATTATTACTATTATTTTGATAACTTATTTTTTTTTAAGATTTTATTTATTTGACAGAGAGAGAGAGAGCACAAGCAGGGGGAGTGGCAGGCAGAGGCAGAGGGAGAAGCAGGCTCCCTGCAGAGCAGGGGGAGCCCGACATGGGACTCGATCCCAGGACCCTGGGATCATGACCTGAGCCGAAGGCAGTCACTTAACCAACTGAGCCACCCAGGCGCCCTATTTTGATAACTTATATTCTGACTACTTCACTAGAGTGTAATTTCCATGAGGGTAGGGACTTTGCCTGCACTATATCTCTAGTACCTATAACACCTGCAGAGTACAAGTGTTGGATAATTGTTTCTAACGAATATATACAGGAAGTATTAATTCATCAAAAGAGTAAAATTTTTTATTTATTTTAATGAACATATCAATAAATATGTTACATAGGAAGATGGGGACTGGAAGTTTCTGGTGTCATAAATAAATGTGGCTTTGCTGGAAAACATGCCCTAATATGAATCCATTTGGCTTCCTTTGATCATAGACAATTTTTTGTAAATACAAAAGGAAAACTGGAAGATTCATCTGGTATTGAAAAAGATGAATTCTTGCAGAAGATAAAGCAGGTAGGAAGATGGAAATTATGACTTTTAGATTATAATTGATTTTTAGTTAATATTTTAAACATATTTGAGAAATGTGAAATTTTCCCAAAGTAGATTTTTCATGAATTAATAATAATCATGATCATTCACAATAATTGATTTAAAGATTTTGATCACCTCCCAAAGTATTTTAAATATATGAAAGAATGAACGTTGTCTATGTGAAGATGAATTATTTGGTAACTTCTCATGTGTTTGTGATTATTTTACATTAGAAATATCCAGACCAATGGATATTTTTCGTGTGAATTATCTTTTTTTGAATGGAACCTTCTTGCTGTTTTGTGGCACCTGTAAAGTCTAACAACCCATACTACACTAAATAATGTCATGAAATATTTGAGTCAGATTTAGCCCCTGAGAGAAATCTCTGGACACTTTAAATCTTAGGTTAAAAGAAATATCATAAGTACATAATCATGGGTGTAAACCAAAATTTATCCACAAGGTATTCAGTAAAGCAGTCATTATGATAGTTGAAAAATTGTAGGGAAGATACAATTGAAGTCCAACAAAAGAGTCTTGGCTAAATAAGCAACAGCTCATAATATATTATTGCATGACAAATAGAATATAAAACATTACAGGCAGATCTCTTCCAGAAGAATGATTTGAGCCAATTAAATTCTTTCCATTTTTGGTTATGAGTTAATAGCATTAAGGATGGTTTCTCTCCAGTTTAGACTTACTCTAATTCTTTTAGTTGTGAAGATACTGAAAGACAGAAACTAGACAAGGTTCGTTGGTTGGCTGGTTGGTTTTTAAAGTTGACTTTCGTTCTCTGGGCAAAGGATTTCTTTTTCCTTTCTATTTATTTCCTATTGGAGGAGCTGCTGGGCAGGGTTCAGATGGCAGCTCCATAGTTGGTAGTCCCTCAACTGTCTGGAAAACCCAGGACCCCTACCTTGGCATGGCTTACTTGCTTATAGGGGCAAATGCAGAGGGGTTTCCCCTTAATACATAGCCCTCAGCCAAATTCCCTGAGTACAAGTCAGTGACTGCTTCAAAGGGATTGGGGCTCTGACCTATTTATTATTTCCACTGGACTCTTGGTGGCAGCCAATCTTAATTCTCATGAGGTGTAAGAGGCAAGTTCAGTGATGACATGAAATTCTATTTTAACTTTTTTAAATTTTTTATTGTAAAATATTACACAGATACAGAACAGCACATACATTGTAAATGTACAGTCTTTATGTACGTATCTATCTTTTGATGGATGTAATTTATTATAATGAAGTCCAGTTTGTCAATCTTTTCCTTCTTGTTTTTTATGTCCTATGTTATGAAGATATTCTTTTCTCATGATCTTCTAGAAGCTTTATTGTTTGACCTTTCACGTTTAGGACTATAAGTGATCTGGGATCTGTGTGTGTTTGTGTGTGTATGTACACTGTGAGAGGGTGGTCAAGATTCATATTTTTCCATAAGGTTGTCCAGTTAATTAGCACCATTTAATGAAAAGACAGTCTTTACCTGTTCCTATATTGTAATGGCATGTTTGTCATAAATCAAATGTAGGTCATAAATACATCATAAATATGTGTGTAGATCTGTGGACTCTCTATTATGTTCCTTTGGACTTGTCTCTCCTCACATTAAAACCAGACTTTCTTAATTAGCAGCTTTAACATAAGCCTTTATAATTAGTAGTATAAATCCAAATTTGTTTTTCAAGATGGATTCTATTCTTGGCCCTTTGAATTTCTGTCAGTCTGTCAAATTCTGCCAAAGAACCTGTTTGTATTCTGATTGGGGTTGCATTATATCTATAGATCAGTTTGGGGAGAATGTTACATTCACAATATGGAGGCTTCCAATCCAAGAACATGGTGTACCTCATTTACCTTAGGTCTTCTTTGTTTCCTTTGACTTAGTTGTTCAGTTTCACTATGATATGTCCATGTTTTCTTTTTTATTTCTCCTGTGTGGGATTCGTTGGGCTTCTTAAATTCATGAATTGCTATATTTTATAAGTTCTGCAAAATTCTTAATCATTATCTGTTCACATATTTCATTCTTTTTTCTTTTTTTGTGAGTGTTTTTATGTGTGTGTATTTTGTGTGTGTGTGTGTGTTTGTACAATTATTTGTACTAATATACATTTCCTCTCTGTAGTTTACCCTCTCTCCTGTGTTTTCTACCTTTTGTCTCCTCCTGCTGTATTCTGGGCAGAATGGCTTTATTTGCGCTCTTAATTTTGGCTATTGCATTTTTTAATTGGTAATTTTCAAATCTACTTTGTCATTCTTCACTGTTTCTAATTCCTTGCTGTAATTTTCAAGTATTTCTAATATTTCTTCGATTACAGTAAGCACAGTATTTATATACTCAGTGTCTAATTCCATTCACTATCAGATGTTTTTATAGAATTTGTTTCTACAGTCTGTTGTTTCTGCCAATTTTTGTTCATGCTGTCTTATTTCCTTCTGTTCCTAGTAAAAAACTGTACATCAGACATTGTATTTGAAAAACAAATGTAGAAACAATTTGAAGCTTAGGACGATTGTATCTTCCTCAGAAACAGACTTTCATTCATTTCCATCAGATGGCTGGGGTATTACCCATCCCAAACCACTTTAATGCACCTTGAGGTTCCCTGGTGATCAAAATCAGGCTGGGCCATGGCTTATTAACTTCCAACTTACCCTTCTCCAGAGTGTGAAGCTTTTTGGGATCCCAGACTAAAGTGGTGGAAGGTTTCTCAGACTCAACACCTGGATGAGCTCTAATTGTTGATTTTTGCCCCCTTGTCAAGTAAGAGAAATAAATTCCCATTTCCAAGTGGTTTCTTCCATATCAGTAAATGTCCTCAGAGTGATTTACTACTCTGGATTCTCAGTTTCTTGTAGAATTCCTCATTATCTTGTTAGTTCTTCAGCACTTCTAGGATTTTTTTTTTATCCAGCTATTTTAGCAGTCCTCAGCCAGGAAGTTATTTTGAACTACTCAGCCCATCACTCATACTAAACCTGACTTTTTACCTCACTTGAAGCAATTCAATAGAGACATCTTTTTTTTTAAATTTTTTCTTATGTTAATCACCATATATTACATCATTAGTTTTTGATGTAGTGTTCCATGATTCATTGTTTGTGTATAACACCTAGTGCCCCATGCAGAACGTGCACTCTTTGATACCCACCACCACGCTAACCCATCTTCCCACCCCCCTCCCCTCTAGAACGCTCAATTTGTTTTTCAGAGTCCATCGTCTCTCATGGTTCGTCTCCCCCTCTGATATCCCCCCCTTCATTCTTCCCCTCCTACTATCTTCTTCTTCTTTTTTTTTTTTTTTAACATATATTGTGTTATTTGTTTCAGAGGTACAGGTCTGTGATTCAACAGTCTTGCACAATTCACAGCACTCACCATAGCACATACC